TCTGTCTTTCTAAAGCAGGGTACGTGTTGCAGAGCAACTTTGAGACAAAGGAAATAATTTGGATTTGGTGCTGGGAGGGGGGCACAAGTGTTGTCTGGGAAGCAATGGGGAATATAAGAGAAACTGCAGATTTGTGGTCTTGGTTTAGACTGATAAACTAAAAATTTATTCTCAATATCCATGAGGTGTTTGGTTTTCATCCTGCCTGGGAGGATAAAAGAGATGTGGTGTCGTATGGTTTGTTTTTTCAAAGCATGTATGAAAAGCTCTGTATTAGCAATTATGGGATGAAACTGTGGAAAAGTGGTACAATGGAGAGAAAATTGGCTCCGACTCATGAAATGGGATTCTGCCACCAAGGGTGAGTTTCCAGAGGCACAGTCTGGGGTCTCTTCTGGGTTCTCTGCCATATTTTTTTTTTTTTAATGGAAAGGATTTGCATGAACAGCCCAAAGTTAGAGCATTAAAGCTCACTGATGCAAAGAAGGGGAAGGCAGCCGCAGCAACAAAGACTCGTCTCGTCTGCCGGAGCAGCGCATGGTGCGGGTGGCAGACCGGAGAACGCTAAAGGAACGGAAAACCGATGAGCAAATAAATGCTCAAGTGACACGTTTCCCAAGGGAGGCGTTTAGAGCTTGCAGCCGAGCTGTGGGGAGCTATCGGCAGCGTCTAACCACGTCTGCAACAGGCAGCCTGTCTGCCTGCACCCTGGAGAGGGGAATCGATGCACGTCCGAAGGCTGAGCTGGTGATAGCGAACGGCACCCGTTCATGGCTGATCCCCCCTCGCTGGGAAGGCGTACGGTGGCACGGCCAGGGGAGCCCAGGTGGAGCTGTGGAGCACGGAAGGGTTTAGGTTTATAGAATCATAGAATCGTTTAGGTTGGAAAACCCCCTTCAGATCATCAAGCCCAACCGTTAACCTAACACTGCCAAGTCCACCACTAAACCGTGTCCCTAAGCGCCACGTCCACACGTCTTTGAAATACCTCCAGGGACGGTGACTCCACCACTTCCCCGGGCAGTCTGTTCCAATGCACGATAACCCTTTCGGTGAAGAAATTTTTCCCAATATTCAATCTAAACCTCCCTGGCCCAACTTGAGGCCGTTTCCTCTCGTCCTATGGCTTGTTACTTAGGAAAAGAGACTGACCCCCATGTCACTACAACCCCCCTTCAGGCAGTTGTAGAGAGCGATAAGGTCTCCCCTCAGCCTCCTTTTCTCTAGACTTAACAATCCCAGTTCCCTCAGCCGCTCCTCACAGGACTTGTGCTCCAGACCCTTCACCACCATCGTTGCCCTTCTCTGGACACGCTCCAGCAACTCAATGTCTTTCTTGCAGTGAGGGGCCCAAAACCGAACACAGTATTCGAGGTGCGGCCTCACCAGTGCTGAGTATGGGGGGCTCAATCACTTGCCTAGTCCTGCTGGCCACACTATTTCTTATACAAGCCAGGATGCCGTTGGCCTTCTTGGCCACCTGGGCTCACTGCTGGCTCATATTCAGCCGGCTGTCAACCAGCACCCCCAGGTCCTTTTCTGCCAGGCGGCTTTCCAGCCGCTCTTCCCCAAGCCTGCAGCATTGCATGGGGTGGTTGTGACCCACGCGCAGGATCCGGCGCTTTGCCTTCTTGAATCTCATCCCGTTGGCCTCACCCCATTGATCCAGCCTGTCCAAATCGGAGCACGTGGACCGCTGCCCAGTGGCCGTGAGGCTTACCACCACCTCGGGGGTTCAGCCCTTTACCCCAGGGACCTCCCTGTCAAACCTTTGGTGTCTGGGATTGATTCTAATTAAATCCCAAATTTCTCCAACTTATCTCCAGCCTGAGCCAGACTATCTCTGGCAAGTCGTGGTTATACCTGTGTCTGCTTGACTGGAGAGATGCATGGTTTGAGGCTGTGGGAGTGCTGCTTTAGAGAAAAGGGGATTTATGCCAGCCCTCAGAGCAACATTCAAAATGCATGAAGACATGCTGTATGAAGGGATGGGGGGAAAAAAACACACGAGCGTGAACCAGGGGCTGTGGTAGAGCTGAACTATGCAGATGGGAAGTTAGTTATTGAGACTAAGTGTCAGAGCATGCCATAAAAATTTAGTTTATCCTCAAAGAGCTGTGGTTGTGGAGGAAGGATGGGTGCAGGGAGGGACAGCAGCTAAGGGGAAGGCAGGAGGAACATCAGAAACTTATAGTCCATGTCAAGCGACACCTCCTATTTAGCAGTGTATCATGTCTCCCTTCTGGTTTTTAAACAGTAGCCTTTATTGCTAGGAGTTAGAGCACTTGATTGACAAGGCTTGTAATACACCATGGAGTTGCCTTTATTTTTCCTACATGTTAAAGGAAAAGATACTAAAAATACAATTATGGTTTTGAGCCAGGCATAGTCTGTTCTAATATAATTCATCTCAAAGACTATCCATTGTGCCTGCTGCACCCAAATCATTTATAAAACATTAGCATCTCCTGTGCTGACATTTCACTCCTATATTACAGGAGTTACACGCAGACTTAAAAAAAATTAATAAAGTGCTTCTCTTCTTCATTCTCCCACTGAGAGCTTTGATTTCCAGAGTATGAAACGAAATAACCAACATAACAACATTCTCCACTTCTAAGGGACAGTGCCAGACTCATTCAGTTGCTATTGGTTATAGAGAGTAGGACATGAGGGAGCTATTTCAGATCACGGATTATTTGTTCTGGCTGCATTGGACATCCCTTTAGTGGAGCTTTAGAGCCCTGTAGACAGAAAAGTTTGGGTAGGAGCTGGAAAGGAGAGGGCTTGATGAAGTAACCTCTTCCTTTCTCCTCCCAGAGTTACTCCTGCTATTCCCCAAGAAGGGTATTTAAAAGTGAAGCATCCAAGCCCCTGCCCCTCCTTGCTTGCGAGACCGACAGAAGAGGCCGTTCCCCCCCCAGCTGCGTGCTCCCAGCACCCAACCACTCTTAAAAATAAGCTCATTGGGGAATTTTCTTCTTTTTTTCGCTTGGGAGTTTCCCTTTTCATTTCCAGCTACCTCCAGGGAACCTGCCGCTGCGTAAATACCCTCTCCCCATCCCCAAAGCGGTTGGGAGAGCGGATTTCCCGAGCTTAGCCCGTTCTTCCTGAAGCTAGTGGTGTGTCTGATGGAAAACGCAAGCCGTTTCCTTTGGGCTTTCCAGCCCCACACGTGAGCTACAGGCTAGAAACGTGCCACCGCTGGGATATCGTTACGAAATGAACAGCAGCCTTTTCTTGTCCAAGATCACTTTTATTTCCCTTGTTTCATTAACTTCAGTGTCTGTTTGGTCTCGCGTATCCACGCTGACAGGGAATTCACACCGACTGCAGAATTTGGGCAGCACCTCCCCGAGCCCGTGGGCTGCTGTCGGTGATGCCGCCGGCTCTGCCGTTCCCCCGACCAGCAAACGCATCCCTCCGCTGTGGGGTTTAATCCGGGACGAGGGGAACAAGCAGATCTGCTCCCTCTCCTCCACCTAGCCACAACCCCCTTCGTACGGCTGTCTTGGACCATTTATTTTTCTCTCCTGTGGCGGACCAGAAACCCTGGGTACTGCGCTTCTCGCCGGTCCTCAACGAGCTGTAGTTTCCCCCTTCTCTGACTCTTCCCGTGACACAAGCTGTTCCTTTTAAGAAACAAAATCTCTCCTAACGCTGTCAGGACTGTCCGTAGCCTGGGAACTGCTCCTTGCTGCCCCAGTGAAAACCTTAGTCCAGCTATAAAGGTCCTCATGCCACCGACACAGCTGGGAAGCCCCTCTCTGCCTCCAGCCCCCCAAAAAGCCCCTTTCCTCCCCGGGGCCTTGCAGCGCTCTCCGGAGACAGAGCTCTATGGCTCTATTTATTTGGACTAATTAATCTCTCTCTCCCCCCGGTTACAAATTAGGATGTAAGGGTGAGTTTTGGCTCTCTGGATATGGACTTTGCTGCATCGCGTACAACCACCCCACCCACCCCTCCCAAAGTTTGGTGCTCTGAATTGCTGAGAACATTGGTCCGCTGTGGTTCCCCCGCGCGTACTGAGCCCGCCCGATGGCTTTCAGCATCTGTAGGCACTGCTGCCGGTTTGTTTTTTCGAGAAAAAAAATCATATACTGGTCTGCTATAAATTCAACAATACAATCCTTAGTTCTGAAGATATAGTTTCCATATAGTTTATAAACATTATAAGACATACATATGGATAATTGAGGGGAAGGGGGAGGAGCCTGTGCATTTGTTGGGGTTGGGGTTTTTTCAGATGTGTGAACATGGTTACAAAAAAACGCACCTCCTGCGGGTACCTCATTTCTTTAAGTGTTGGGTTTGTTGGGGGTTTTTTTTTGTTTAATTCCACCTCTAATCAGTCTTTCCTTTGGTTGTTGGCTACTCCAAGCCCAGCAGGCAAGCCCTGTTCTGCTGTAATGCCTGAGATATTCAGGGGTTTGAGATTGTCTTCTAAGCGATTCCCAGCCAACTTTGGCCTCTGGGTTTGGAGCCAAAAGGGCTAAAACGTGGGAGAACCAATGTCCTTACTACATCAGTATCAGTGTCCTTGCACTCGCTTTCAGAGAAACAGTGTAGGCTTAATTGGTGATCATTTTTACAGCAATTATGTTCCTTTCGGTAATTGGAGGGGTCGTTCAGAGCGCTCTCAAATGAACAGGATTTCACAAGAGCGTGGATACAGTCCATTTGTCCGGTTGTTGTCACCGACGAATTGGCTACCGTCCCTGTTATCTGCTTTTTGTAAGGTTGGCTTTTTTTTTGTTGTAGGTGCTCGGTTAGGCTGTTTGTGACAAGGTGTGATAATGCCTTTTAATCCGCTCCCGCTGCGTTCGGCACAGTCCGCGTTGGCAGCCCGGCCGGGCACGGAGAGACCGTCAGAAGCCGAGACAACGTTCTTCCTTTCACCAGGCCAACACTCTCCACGTACAAAAAAAGAAGAAGAAAAGAAACTCTGGTCCTTTGTAGATTGGTGGCAGTACAGATTCGCTCCGTCCGCAGCCGGGGGCTCAGCGTATGACGGCTGCTAACACCATCATAAAAACCAGGAGCGATGCCCTGAGCCCCGAGCAGCCGGCTGCCTGCTGCACCCCGCTGGGGGGGCGGATGGGTGTCCGCCGGGTACACTTACCCTTGCGTTTGGGGGAGAGCGTCGGCATCGCCCCGAAACTGAATTTGTGCTGATAATCAGGCACATAGTCTGGAACCTCCTGCCCGTTTTTCCGCGGCCCCAAGGATACCGGTTTAGAGGTTCGGTTACGGCTTTTGTGGCTGGTACAGTTCTTGCCGGGTTTGCGGTAGCCCGGCCGGGAGCCGGGGGGGGCGGCGGGCTGGCTGCTGTGCAAACTGTTCTCAGCCCCTCTTTCCTTCCCCTTCTCCTTGGAGGAGTGGTGAGGGTGGTGGATTTTGGAGGCTCCTCTGTCCGCTGTGGAGAAAGTATGTGTTTTAATCTGATGGAGCGACTCGGAGCCTGAACAGTTCCTAAAGTCTTCCGCTCTTAGCACCTTGAGGTCCTTGCCGTGCATCTGCTCGGGGGACTCGCAGATGACGCTGGAGCTGGAGCCTCTGAACCTGTGCAGCCATTCCCAGAGCGAACGGGCTTTGCAATCGCAGCTCCATGGGTTCCCGTTCAGCCTGAGAAACTCCAGGGCTCCCAGGTGGGCCAGGCAGTCCCCCTGCAGCTCCGAGAGGCTGTTATTGAACAGGAAAAGGGTGGTCAATCTTCGGAGGTCGTGAAAAGCCCGCCTGTGAATCCACTGCAGCTGATTTTGATGGATGAGCAGCCGATCCAGGTTTATTAGTCCCCTGAACGTGTTCTGATGGAGGCTCCAGAGCTTGTTTCCATGGAGAAAAAGATGGCTGAGGTTAACCAAGTCAACAAAAATATCATCCTGAAGAAACTCGATGTGGTTGTCTTGCAGGTAAAGGTATTGCAGGTTGTGGAGGCCACCGAATATCCCGCTGGGGAGGGAGCTCAGCCCGCACTTGTACAGGTACAAGGCGTGGAGTTTCACCAGCCCTTGGAAAGTGTCTGCAGCTAAAGCCCTTAAGTAGCGGTTGTCCCCCAGGTCCAGCTCTTCCAGGTTGACGAACCCGTCGAAGGTGTTGGGGTCGATGAAGGTGATGTTGTTGGAATAGATCCAGAGGGTGACCATGGAGGGGCTGAAGTGGCCCCGCAGCAATAAGGTGATCTGGTTGTTCTGGAGGAAGATCCTCTCGCTGTCCTCAGGGATGCCCTCGGGGATGGTGACGAAGTTGTGAGCCTGGCAGCTGACGGTCATCGGCGACGGGTAGCACACGCAGTCGGTGGGGCAGCCCAGGGTGCCGGGCACCTTCAGCCCCAGCAGCACCAGCAGCAGCTCTGCAAACCCCCCTGTGCGGAGAGAGGGGAGAGCGGTGTCAGCGGGGACTCGGGCACCTCCCTGCCCACCCACCGCCGCCGTGGGGACTATTCCGGGTGAAAAACACCCCCAATTAACTCAGCCCTCATTTTCGCTCAGGAATGACCCACGCGGCTGCGATGAGTGGGCTCATCACCCGTGGTAGTTTAAACGCAATGTATGGAGCACTCCCTCCCTCCTCGCCCTGCCTGCAACCGGCAGGCGGTTGTGCTCCCAGCTCAAAACAGGCAGGAGAAACTTTCTCGGTGAGAATTCACGCTGGCAGTGCAGGCAGCAAAGCCCCTTGCCTGCAGGCAGGCAGCGCAGTTTGAGGAAATGCCGCTGTGCAAAGGTGTGAGAGCAAACAGAGGAGACACAAACCCACGTAGGCGTCCACCCCTCCTGTAACGCATCTCTTAAATCGCCCGCGCTTACGTATCAGAGTGGAAAAGCTTTAGCAATTCCCAGCGAACCACCTAAAATTACACGTGTGCAGTGCATCTGCACAGCATGCCCACCTCCCCCAAAGACACAGACCCATCCCCACCATCTCTTTTTACTACAGTTGTTAGACACCACCATCCACCCTGAAAACCAAGTGATTTACAGGAAAATATGTTGTCAGCAGTTGGTGGAAAAGGCTGAACTGAAAACTCCCGTTTGGAAGTGGGATGTTCAGACATATTTTTAAATGGATGTCCTGTGGCAAAGCATATTGCATCCTCTAATGCTACAGTACGTGCTTGTGACCAGGGCTTTCTCGCTGCCGAGAAGAAGCAGTGAGCAAGGCAGTAATCATCCCCTCCCTCTGCTCAGCTCTTAGAGTGCCGGTTTCGCCGCCCCGTTCCCGTCTCGCTCCCACTCCTCGCACCAGGCTTGCTTTCAGGCTATTCCTTCTGCGCCGAGTGGCTTTTCAGACTCATTGCACCAGACTTGTCATTTCTCATTCAGATTTTCCTCCTAGATTTGGCTTTTTCCTCTTACACGCAAAATTTGCTCATGTCTAATGAATTCTGCCTCTGGACTTTACAGGGGAAAGGAGTAACATCGGAGCGGCATACAGCTGCCGGTGCCATCCTGCCCACGAGTCCTCGCCTTGCACTCAGCTTGTAATAATCTGAAAAACGAGAGTGGAAGTGGAGTTCATCTCTAATTACTCTATGTCATTATCACCAGCTAGTCCAGGAGCCTGGACCCCTTGGGCTTTTACAGTCCCTCTTTTCAGTGCCTACAGCTGAATACAAGTGGGAGGCAAGAAAAAAATCACTGTTTTCTTATTAATTGTGTTTGAAATATAACTCCACGGTTACCGTTGCCTTTTGCCTGGTATGGAGATCTATTACCGTTTAGTTAACAGCAGGTGACCCGTCCATCTGGACCCATCCTTTCAAGGCAAAGTTGTCACATTTTTAGATAAACTGGGTTATTCAGACTCTCCATAAATCACCGGTAAGAGGCAGTCATCTCTGACTGGGCCGTTAATAGAAAAAAAAATAGCATTGCTAGCCAAAGTGTTGGCCCAAGCCTTGGCTGCGATGAGAAGGGGGGGGACTTCTTCTAGGAGCTGCCCTTCAGAAATTAAGCATCGGCTACCAGGAGGGATGTCTCATTCCTGTGCCGCTGCCAGAAAGGGGCTGTAAGTCGGGAATGTTTAATTCGCGACAACTCCTACGGCTGTGTAGGAAAAAGAACGTTCTCCAAGTCACCACTGTACCGTTTTGGCTTTGCTGTCATGCCTTTGAGATGAGAAAGGGGCTGTGCTGGTGGGAGCATCGTGCCGGCGCTGACTACCGAGCGCTGCCTGCCAAAACAGGAGCCCTCGCTGCAACTCGCCGTGCAAGCGCAGCCTGGGAAACAGCGGTATCCTGAGGATATTGTGATTACCCGAATGCCAGATAACAATGGTAAAGATAAAGCTAAGTTTGCAGATAGATTCTGCTGGTTTTTTTTACCCACGGACGTGCTTCGCCAAGGTGGGATGGCTTCATAGTCCCCATCTTACCTCGGTGACACTGAAGTACGAAGCCTTCTGTAAGTCTTATGTTTATTAGTAAAATCCTGCCAGGCACAAGCGCTGTGACGATCTCCCACATGCGGAGTCTGTTATTGCAAATACCAAATCACAAGGGTCTGAATCAATAAACCATCTCCCAGCTATAAGCAGCAGGTTGGAAGATTACATATTGCTTCCAAACAACAGTTTTATGCGCTCTTCCGTGACACGACAGTTGCCAGGCTAACGGGATTACTGACGGGAGGTGGAGCCGGGCAGGGATCTGGGAGCGTACACGATTTCACTTATAGGGATGGCGATGACAGGAGGCTGTTAGCAACGCGCGGCGATGGACGAAGGCAGCCTGGGTGTCCCTGGAGCACGGCCAAGGTAGAGGCTCCTGCCGAAAGGGAGCACAGTGTTTAACGGCTCCTTGCCTGCAGCGAGAACTCCGGAGGTAAAGGTCAGAGGGAACTGAGTCCATGTCTTTAATTAACAGGCGTTTGCAAGTTAGTGGCTGGAGTTCCTACGGAGAGGGAGATGTGACTCCCACAGTCCTGGACGGTGGTGGGGATAGTCTGGGGTGTTGCTGGTTCTCAGCTTCCCAAGAGTACGATGGTAGGAAGAAAAGCTAGGGATGGCTTGCTTTCTTATTAATTGTGTTTGAAATATTTCTTTCTACCTACGTGCTGCAACTCGGGGGTAAGGAGAATGGAGAAACAGAAGGACAGATGCTTAGAAAAAATAATTAGGTGGGCAGGACTTGGAAAGAGGAAACCTGTGGACTCCCCAGTGGATGCACTCAAAGCACATGGTCTCATCAAGGATGCTTTCCCTCCAAGCCCATAAAAGCTGCTGATTGCCTAGTGCTGTGAGAAGCTGCTCCTGGGATGCCCTGGGCTCAGTCACAGTTTGGATCTGGGAATGAGACCCCCAAGAAGCAAAGAGGCTGTGGTCACGGAGCCCTGAAGCTCCTGAGGCTGGTAACACCAGCATTGTGATGGCCAGCAGCTGAGCCCCACTGGGACCAGACAGCCATGAGCACTTGGGTCTCACTGGGCTTCCCAGGCTGGAAAGCAATGTGGGAGCTTCCCGAGAGGTCCCAGCCCAGCTCCCCTGAGAGTTAGACCCTGCCTAACTTGTTGAACTCGTTATTCCCGATGCAGCCCTTTCAACTTCATCTTGTAAAGGTTGCGAGGCAGATGGAGGGTCACCAGCATGTGTGTCGGAGCTCACCAGGGAGGAAGAGCTTCAAAGGCGGCACAGAAAAATCCTACAGAAACCTGCCGGTGAAGTGAATAAAAACAAAGCCCTGCTGACAGGGATAAAACCAGCAAGGGGGTGTTTATCTCCTGGCTTTCTCCCACTGATGCCCTGAGTCACCCCGGCTTCTGCTTAGTGTCCTTCTGCTGCCTCCTGCTTTTGACTGAGGTTTCAGTGATTGGAATGAATTCGTCCGACTGTCCAAACCATTTCCCATGTAGCATCTCTCTAATTGGGCATTAATTAGGCATCAGTTAATGAATGCTTGAAATAATCTATCTTTGGATGCGTCCAGTTTGCAGTCTTACTTTTAACAGCATTAGACTCATTATTAGATTAACATCATTATAAATGTTCTCCATTACCTGCTTGTTTCCATTGTCTTAGCCTTATTACTGAGAGTGAAAATCACTCCTCCCGCATGCATTATTGATGAGTAAGGACTTTCTATATGTAGCACGGGATTAATTGTTATACAGCGTAATGCATTTAGCGTGAAGCCTCAATTTGTGCAGGAGCTGAAAGCGGCCAGAAGAATGCAGACGCCCGGAGCCGGCATGCTCAGCCAGACACAGCACATCTCTCTCCAGCCCAGACCAGGTTCCTCCCAGGCCGGTGCCAGCACAGGAAGAAGTAAATAAAAAAAAAAAGGCTGGTTTGATACCCAAGATTGCAGGGGGGGGGAGGTTCGAAGGGTTGATGCACTTCTCCGCCACCGTGGCAGGGATGCTGGCCTCGGCTCCGCTCTGCAGGCAGCCTGTCCCCATGGCGCTGCTCGATCCAGAGAGCAGGGTGCACCTGCGCCGGCTGTTTTCTTGCATTTTAAGGCTTTTAACGCTTTACTGTATCTTGGAGCAAGGCAGAGTCTTGGTTTATTTAGGAAGATGTAACACTACTTATTTTCATTCGGAGTCTCAGGCTTGAGGGGAAGGAATCGCTTAGGACAAGAATAGGTGCTTCGGCCCCAGGGGGGATGCAACCGCAGAGCCCCCCAAAAGTCAGCCCCGCCACGAGACCTCGCCACCCCCTGCCCGTTCCTTCTTTGCGAGCTGCTTTTCTCAGATGGATACTTTAACCTCTCCACCCCGACAAGCTTATATGGGTCACAGCCCGTCTAATTCTCCGGCGGGATCTGGTCTCAAGGATGGAGCAGGTTGCTTCTCTTTCAAATCTCTCCTAAACCGCCATCTGCCTGGGGAGACCCATCTTAGCTCGTGTCTACATGCAACTTGACTGCCTGCTTACTGTGTCCATTACCGGTGCTGCTCAAGCTGTTAGATTTATAAGCTCTTTAGAGCAAAGCCCTCGTCTTCTGGTTGCTGATTTATGTATCTTTACTGCCATAAAACACTATGTATAGCTACTACATAATATAAATAATAATACTTAACCAGAGCAAGCTACAAGTGGGGACAAAGCATCTGGCTTCTGCTCGCAGCTGAGATTATCAAAAAGGCAGAAGCTTACTCATCATTCACCCTCTTCTGAGGCCAAATTCACACCTGGTGTAACACCACCACCTCGCTGTCAAGGAGCTCCAGAGCGAGATTTTCCTGCCCCGTTCACGCCCTGGATCTATGAAGGATGCTTTCTAAATCCACCCCAACTGAACTGGGGCACAAAGACATGACTACAACCCCCAGGGGAAAATATACTTTGAAACTTGGGAACTAACTCAGAATGGGATGTTCGCACTGCCATAGAGAGAAATTGTTGTGTAGGGAGAAAAAGAAGCCTCACATGTTCACAGTTTCATCTGCCAAGTGAAGGACGATGAAAGGTAAGGCCGGAGCGGTGACAGCAACTGGGCACAAGCCAAGAGTGAAACTTCAGATCTGGGATGGTTTTGACAAAGCAGTGTCAGACCTGTGCTTAGTAGCTGTGTATTTTTTTCCTCTTTTTTTTTTTTTTTTTTTTTGCAACACAGAGGATAAAATAAACACGCCCATCCTGACTGTCACAAAGACTAAATTCCCCAGCAAGCAGCAGCTTGCTTTCAGCCTCTCTGCAAAGCCCTTTAGGTGCAGCCCCACGGTCCTGCAGCGCTCAGCGGCAGGAGCATCCTCAGTGGGTTTGCTCCCCGCGACATCAGCTGCAGCTCCCAGCACCGGGACACGGCACGGGGCTTTGCTTTCTGCACGAGCTGCCTTTCAGCTGGAGAGTGGCAACTACCCATCCACCTTCATCATTTTTTTTTTTTTTTTCCGAACAGTGTCATAAATAACTGACAGATCCCAGCTGTTTGGAGTTATGGTTTCTGATGGAGTGACAGCTGCTCCCAATCCCCCAGTCATCACCCCGGCAGTTCTGGAACATTTCAGCAACATAAAAATCATTGGAGATAATTTCGGTTTTGCATAATTTGGTTAGGCAAGCTGTGATTTAATGGCAATTATGACCTCCGAGGCAGAAGATGAGCTTGGAGGCTACCGGCTTCACACGACTTTACCTCGGGGTGCAGCGTCAGGGATGTTCCAGGGAGAAGGTACTACAAGAAAAAATCCTTCTCCAGCAGCTGGAAATTACCTTCCTTTGCTGGCAAGTGGAAAGACTGTTCCCAGAGGAAGAAATATACAAGGAAATTTGGAAGGAATATTGCTAAGGAAAGCTTTGGGAAGAGGCCGATGCCAAAAGATGCGTTGGGAGGTACCTTTTAAAGAAAAGCCAGGAAAAGGCTGGCTTCTGTGTCACTGGTATATCGCATGGTAACTGGTATAAACCTCTTCTCGGTCACCCTGACCCCACTTTCGTAGCCCCAACATTAAAAAGCAAATCCTCCTCGATCGACTGGGATGGGAGAGCCGGCCGGCACTGGGAATGGGCCATGCCCTTTGCAGGCAGCTGCCTGCTTTGTGGGCACTGCCCGTTGTTCTCCCCTCTTCCAGGGTTCCTCTTGCCCCGAGCTGTGTTGTCTCCTCTCCCGGTGCTCCTCAGCCATCCCGGAGTCCCCTCGTTCGCACTTCTCCAGTGGTGACCGACCGGAGCAAACCCTCGGTCAGCCAGGCTGCGCCAGGTGGGCAGTTAAGGATGGAGAACCATGCTCAGGAGCTCTGAGGACATCACCGTGCTTCAAGAGGAGCAAAATGTTGCTTAAGAGCAGAAGTGGCTTTTGTCTGGAGCCGAGAAGGTCCAATTTTCCCCCCCTCCATCACTGCTGTCAACCAGGTTGGAGTTTGCTGTGAGCTAAAGCTCAGGGCAGAGACCTGGGGTCAGCAGCACCCCAAAATCAAGTCCTTTAGGGTGTTGCAAGTTCATTTTGCATTTGCTGACCCGGTATCTGGAGCTATTCACCTTCCTCCACCAAAGTCGAGGCCAAGGTCACCTGGAAGTTTCTGGATGATGGTCATTAACTCCTATTGCAGTTTGAAACCAGACCATAAATTTCATAGTGTAATAATGTAAAAATCAATAACTCTGTTTGAAACAATAGCTTTGTCTTCCATTTCAGCCAGCTCTGATATCTCCCCACGGACCACGTCCCTCTGAATCACACAAATAAAGAGAGAGGAGCGATGGGTGGTGGGGTGGCTGCTCTCCTGCCAGGTGCCCGGCCCCCTCTGTCATTACAGATTCAATTAGCTAATTTATTCCTCTCTTGCAGTTAAACTCGAGGATGATTTAAAAGGAGAAAAGGAAAAAAAAATGGGGGGGGGCCTTTTATGCTCAGTCTCTTTGACATCCCATCCAACGCGGCATCCCTGAGGCTTTCCGTGCGAGGGATGCCCAAGCCCCCGCTGCCCATCGCCACGAGCAGCACAGCCAAAACCCAAAACAATCCTGAAAAGACGCAGCACCAACTCACACGAGCATCCAAAAAAATTGAAGTCCGTTCTTTCCCAGCTCTGGTTTTCTGGGCGAGGGAGGTCTGGCTTCCTTTGCCTGCTTATTTTTCGTTGTTTGCTGTAGCACTGACTCGAAATATACATCGAGAGGCAGGATTGTCTTTCACATGTTGGTGGATGTGTGATCCTCAAAAACAAATTAGCACCGATTCACTTCTATATAGAGTGCAGCCATCAGGGAATCACTCCTGAATTCACAGCGAAGGAAAGTAATAATGCTTCCAGCGTGCTAATCCTCTTGGAGAGCAGCCCCTGAACTCTCTCCTGGTGCTGGAGGCACCACTGGAAATTACAATTGTACTGAAAAAATAATAAATAAATACAGAAATTGGCAGGGTTTATGCTGGTCCAGAGGATTTGTACCCTAATGTGGAACTCCCTGTTTAATTAGCACTCCTCTCTGTGTCTGCATCTCCTCCTCCCGCTGCTTGAGCTAAAGAAAAAGGGAGAAAAAAGGAGGCCAACGGTGGAAGTGGCTGTGGGATTGGAAACTCAGCTATAGAAACTTGTTTAATTTAAATACTTGTTTCAGGACTAACACAAGCAGAAACAGAGGGAGTGCAGAGTATGTTTTCCCCATGTAATCTGCTCTGCTTAACCCCAGTTTGCAGTACACCTTCCACCGCAGCAATGCCCTTGGAGTACAGCTGCAGTTGGATGCTGCCGGTCCTACGGCTGCAGGCATGGGGCACAAACCCGGTACCTCAGTGCAGAGCCTAAAAGCCAGCGTTTCGGAGAAGACTATCTAGATCAGAGGCTGGGCTGCTGTTTGCGTGGGGTTTGGAGGCAGAGCTTTAGAATAGAATAGAATAGAATAGAATAGAATAGAATAGAATAGAATAGAATAGAATAGTTCAGTCGGAAGGGACCTACAACAATCATCTGGTCCAACTGCCTGACCACTTCAGGGCTGACCAAAAGTTAAAGCTTGTTATTAAGGGCAATGTCCAAATGCCTCTTAAACACTGACAGGTTTGAGGAATCGACCAACTCTCCAAGAAGCCTGTTCCAGTGTTTGACCACTCCTCCCAGTAAAGAAATGCTTCCTAACGTCCAGTCTAAACCTCCCCTGGCGCGGCTTTGAACCATTCCCACACATCCTATCCCTGGATACCAGGGAGAAGAGATTATCTTCTTTTCCTGACTCTCCTTTCCCTGCTGCTGGAGGGTTTATTGTGCCCCTGCATCTCATCCCATCGCGCATGATGGACCAGTGTCTCAAAAGCCACTGGGACCTTCCTGGAGCAGAGGCACGCTGGACAGAAACAGCACGTCTGGCTTTACAGATGGATGAGTCAAGTCCTTGGGTCCTGCCACGGCTGGAGGTGTCAATGGACACCAGGATGCTCCTTCTCCTCTGGGAGAGGATGGGGTGGCCCAGGAGACACCCTGAGCGCAGTGTGCATGGATATTGCAGGATTTTAGGGACAGCTGGGGGCTTCACAGCTCCAGGCGCTGCCGTCCTGACCCCCAGCAGGCACCAGGCATCCTCTGCTGGTCCCCAGTGCGGGATGGGGCTCCGGTGGGATGTGCCAGTAACCTGCAGCGAAGCCAGGATGGGAATTGGCAAAGGACAGAGACATCTTGAGGTCCTTGAGAAGGGACTAATAATTCCAATTGCCCCCGAGGAGAGACAAATACAGGAGGATGACTTGAGCTTAGTGGATTGTCTGAGGCGTCTCAGGGGATCATCAGATACTTCCACTCCCTTTTTGTCCTGAGGTGACAAGTTTTCCTTCCCATTCACAGAAATGCAAAGTAGTTCATTCACAGTAGTAATAAGAATGGTGTCCTTTGTCAAACAGCGGGCTAGCGAACCCTCCGAGGTGCTTTACAGCAAAACAATTGCAGATGAAATGACAAAACCCACCCCAGATGAGCACCAGCCAGATCGGTATCAAATGCCGAACAAGCTCATGTGTAGC